CCCAGAGTTTACAGTCTAATGGATCTATTTGACAGATATGTGAGCTACAACATTTCATAAGGCAAGAAGGGACTAAGGACAGGGTTTTGAGTCAATTGCTTTCTCCATTATTTATTTATTGCCAAAGCATTTCCAGTGACCACACACTGAAAGCTGCAATGAGAACTGCATTTGAAGCAAGACTAATCTAAATGACTGAATCCAGTTTGGGGATGGAACTCTACGCCCAAATGGTGGTGCTATGAGGAACCTTTGTAGCACAGACATTTCCCTACTCCAAAAGGGTTCATTTAGCAGCACGGGCACACATACCAGGGTCAGGGTATTGTCTGTTTTCACAGACAGTCACTGCCTTGGTGGACCCAGAAGCTGCTGGTGGATCTTTATTGCTATGTCTCCTGCTAGTGAAACTGCCTTCCTCCTTTACTCCTCTCTGTACTCCTAATTGTCTCAACCTGTCCCTGACAATTAGCACAGTTTTACTTTCTTCCTTTCTCAGTCAAGTCCTGTTCTCCTCACAAAGTTACATGTCTCCAGACACATAATGACATGACTTTTTAATAGATTGTGTAGCTGGGATTTGCATTTTGGTTTCAAGAAGATATAAATATGAATCAAAGTTGCTACTTCAGTATGTGGGTTTACCACTACATATGCACCATAGACTTTGTCTATAGAGCAAAGTGTCTGCCTCCTTCATATTCTACTTTTCCTCTGGGTTTCCCATAAGGTGAATGCCTCTGGTACCTTCTTTGCAGTTTTATTCCTCCTGTGTAGCATATAACCATTTCTTCTCTAGCACAGATCTCCTCATATTCTTCCAGTTCCTGAAAGGTCTTTTAATAAATGCACCTAGTCCAAGCACAAGACTATCTGACCAAGCAAATAGCCAAAGGTTTTCAATCCTTGCCAGAGGGAAAAAGCATCATATTCATGCATCATCTGCAGCAGGATTCGTTCAGTAGATCATCAGCTTATGTTCTGAAGAGCAAGTCTTCTCTAGTGGTGGCCTCCAAGCACGGCCAATGCAAGCTGTTACATGCCCTAAGGCAAAGTAAGCATTCACCACCAACAGCCAGTGCCTCTAGTCCATCACCTACCACAACATTCACAGTCTGCCGGAGGGGAACTAGGGGGAGCCAGGGACCCCAGTTCAGAAGCAGCTTCATGCAGCACCTCTCCGGCAGCAGCTGGGAGAACACACAAACTCTCCCGTCTCCTCTTGGTTGGCAGTGTACAACTGTATTTGGTTTACAACATGGCAAGGCTGGGGCTGGTTGGGTGCATTGCAGAGGTGGACTCTAAGAAGACACAAGAAACTGACACCATGTTGAACAGAGCCAGTTTTATCCAGCTCCAAAACAGACCCACTGTTTCCCAAAGCTGAGCACCCAGTGATGCTGGTGGCATCTCTGCAGTAACATATTTAAGAAAGGGTAAAAAATGCTGCACAGCAGCTGGATGAGAGAGGAGTGAGAAAAATGGGAAAGTAATAACTCTGCAGACACTGTCTGTGAAGAAGGAGGGAGAGAAGGTGCTCCAGGCATTGGAGCAGAAATTCACCTGCAGCCCATGGTGAAGACCATGATGGAGCTGATGACAACACTGCAGGCTGTGGATGACCCCATACCGCAGCAGCTGGACATGCCTGAAGGAAGCTTCGGCCTGTGGAGAGTGAAGCAGGAGCAGGTTTTCTGGCAGGAACTGTGGCCCGTGGAGAGCCTGTATTAGACCAACCTGCTCCTGAAGAACAGTACACCATAGGGCAGACCCACACTGGAGCAGGGGAAAAGCATGAGGAAAAAGTAGTAGCAGAGATAAAATGCTATGGACTGGCCAGAATCCCCCACTCCTCACCCCCCTGTCCTCTCAGGGGGAGGAGGGAGGAGTTGTGAAAGGCGTGAAGTTGGCCCTGGTAAGAGGGGTGTGTGGGAGGGTATTTTATAGTTTTGTTTTTGTTTCTCACCCTCCTAATTTACAAGAAATTAAATTAATTTTTCCCAAATTGAGTCTGGTTTATCTGTGATAGTAACTGGTGAGTGATCTCCCTGTCTTTATCAGGAACCATGAGCTTTTTCACCTTATTCTCTTCCCCCTATCCTGCTGGGAGTGCAAGAGCAGCTTGGTGGGCACTCAGCAATCAGCCCAGGATAACCCACCAAAGTATCAGTGAATCTAAAAACTGATCTCACCTTTCTTCCCTTCCAGCCTTAATCTTGATTACAACCCTGTTATCCTTCCTGTTTCAGTTTTTCTGTAAGACAAACATTGTGATCAATTACTTGATCATCTTCCATTCACTTCTCAAAACTTACTGAAATGGGAATTTTCCCCTTTGACACTGCAACTCTTTTTTTTTCCCCTTGTGTCTTTTAAACAAAATTGCTATGATGGCCTCTTACCCTTTCTTTCCTCTGCTTTCCATAGCTGCAAAAATGATCCTGAAATGTCTAAGCAGGGGAGTGTCAAGGAGAGGATGGGATTATTTCCAGGAATAGCACTGAGTGATACCGTAACAGGAACACTGGGTTCACCAGAAACCAAAACTAAACAAATGCAAATTTCAACAAATTAGAGTAGGTAACAACTGGTACAACTTACCCAGGGAACTGATGGATTTCCTGTCTCTTGGAGGCTTTAAATCAAGGTTGGATGTTTCACTAAAATATGTGTTCCAACAGAAATGGAAACTGCAGGATGAGACTCCTGGTCAGAACAGATTAGACCACTGTATGAAATGGTTCCTTGTGGACTCTCAAATTAAATTTAAATTAACATGCTACTTTCATATTTGAAAAAGGCATATTCCTCAGCTTAGTTGGTAGGCAGCAATTTGCCTATAATGGACATATTTCTAAAATCATAATCTTTTATACATATTTGGCATGAATTCACATGAGTATGTGTCATCAGGTTAACTTAGTATTTTACCTGTTTCCAAGTTACTTGCTCCTAGTGGTGAAGAACCAGACAGCCATTACAGAGTTGAAATATTATTCCATTTTTCATTACATTTTACTTGGATTTACAAAGTCAAAAAGTTAAATACTAAAGGACAGAAGAAAGGAGGAACCAAATTTTGAGGAGAATTCAGGGAGACAAAGGAAGCAAGGCAAGGAAGATGGGAAGAAAGACACACAAGAGCAAAAGTAGAGGTCACAAAAAGCCATGGGTAAATAATGTGAAGCACAAGCCTGCAGATTGAGAGGAAGGATGGGAATACGTGACAAGAAAGTAAAGGGAAGTAGAAGAGTTACTGAAAAATAAAGGAATGAGTATTCTGAAATGCAGGTGAAGTCTGTTTGCCAGTGATCTGCAAAGAAGTCTTTCAAAGAGTGATTTATTTACAGGAACTTCACACTTTCCCAAACACAGAGTCACACACAGTTGCACATGCCCATGCAGACAAGTTTATATATATATCTGCTCTCAGTGTTCTTTTCTTGCTCTTTTGGCTAGACTGAGGAGCCCACAGTCATGCTTCAAAAATCACTGTCACCCTCTGCAGCAATTAAAGGGGATGTCTTTTTACTCCAGAGCCTGGAAACACAGGATGTAGTAATAAACCAAGAAAGTAAACCTTCAGGAAAGCAGGCAAAACTCTGGTCTTGGAGCAAATGTGTGTGTTTGAGCACAGAGCCACAAAGCTTGCCTTAAAAATCAATATTCTTTCATACTGCAAATTAACATTTTAAAATTAAGTTATTTGAGCTTCAATCATTCCCTGTGACTGACAGAAATCTCTCCACAAAGCCACATGTAAAACTAGAAGCTCCCCTCCCTGACATACAGCTATTGTTGGATGATTTCATTACCTATCATTTATTATATATATCTTTTAATAATTAACTGCAATATCCCCAGACTTCTGGCAGCTGCTCTGGGGAACTTCCAAAGCCTGTAAAGAAAAATCTAAAGGCACCAAAGATAAGGGTCTAGCAAAAAAAAAAAAAAAAAAAAAAAAAGGAGAAAGAACACTCCCCCCAACAACAACAACAAAAAAAACAGCTATAAAAGAAGGGGGGAAAATAGAAGTAAAAAAAAAAAAAGAGAGAGAGGAAAGGAGGCGGCAAAGGAGCAGCGAAGTTTTCCTTTCATTTGCTCTCTCCTTTTGGCATGAGTGCCCACAAGCGCTGAGCGCTTCCCTAGTCTCGTCCCTCTGCTCCATCCTCTGCCGCAAACCCCGGCAGCGAGGCGGGGGTCCCGCTGCTCCCGTGCGGCCCTGAGTCCCCCGGAGTGGTGGGGATGTCTGTCTAGCTGCGTCCCCCCCGCTCCGCAGCATCTCAGCACACGCAGAGCCACCTTCATTAATAATAACTGGTACTTAATAAACGCCAGCCCCAGCCGCGCGAATGATGGGCTGCAGCGGTCGTGCTTCTCCCCATACCCCGCGCAAAGCCCGGGGCAGTGACCTTGCCTGGCACTCACGCCCTCCCCCCGCTGCCGCACAAATTTCCGCGCCGCTGCGCGCACGCAGATGTGCGAGCGGCAGAAACGGGGTGAAATAATGATAATACTGCTAATAAAACCCCAAAGCAACACAACCAGCCTCGCCGCCGCCGCGGTGGCCGTAGTGCGCGCAGAACCCGCGGGCAGCTCTGTGGGGCGGCGCAGAACGGGGCACGCTTGGCAGCTCCGCGCCCGCGGCGGTGCGGGCGGCGGCGGCGGCGGCGGCGGGGGGGCTGTCTCACGGCGCATGTCCGCCCGCCGCGCCGCCACTAGCCGCTCCCCCCCGCCGCCAAACTCACCACCATCTTCTGCATGTGCAAGGCTTGCAGCCGGACAGAAACCGCTCCCCGGCGATGGAGACTGCGGGAAAAATCCGGCGCGGCGGCATGGCTTGCTGAAAAGGCAGCGGCGGCCGGAGAGAGGCGGAGCGGCAGCGAGAGAGAACAACGAACAGATACTAAAACACAAGAACACACTGAAAAAAAAGAGAAAAAGAGGGAAAGAAGGGAGGGAGCCTCTCTTTTTATTCCCCCTTCCTCTTTTTTTTTTTTTTTTTAATTCTTGATTTTGTTTGTAGCCACCTCGTCCTCAATGCCTCTCTGAGCAGCACCTAGCGAGCGAGCGGGAGAAGGCGAGACAGAGAGGCAAAAGAGAAGATGAGGATAATTTGCAGACAGCTTGTCTTGTTGTTTTCTGGCTTTTGGGGACTAGCAATGGGAGCTTTTCCTAGCAGTGTGCAAATAGGTAAGCGCTGTATTGGGCTGTGTGCGTGTGTCCAGGGGTTCAGTCCTTTGCAAAGTGAGTTGGGAAGGAGGCTCTCGAGGCAGTTTAAAGATTTCTCCTCCAACACCATCCCATTTCCCTGCCTTCACGAAGAAATCCGCGTGTATCGGTGTACGTGTGCGTCTGTGTGTGTGTACATCTGTGTGTGTGTGTATGTATATACCAGTGCGTGTGTGCGTTCGCGTGTGGAAGGGAGGATGCTTCTCTTTCGCAGAACTCGCGCTAGCTCCGGGGGTGAGCAGGCTTGGTAAGCAAGGAAGGGGCTCGGGGATGATGTCCCTTGACTGCCTAAACTCCCCCTTCTCCTCCCCTCTCCGAACCCCCCGCCTTTCACTGGCTCCAGTGGGATGTGGAGTTACATGCGCCGGGAGGATGCGGTAGCTGGCAGGGCTGGGGGTAAAAGCCAGCGCTGCCATTCTTTCCCTTCTAGTTGGAAAGTTTAGGGTTTTGTAGGTCTGTCCTTGTAGTTCAGTGCCCCATCCTCACCCCGTTCCCATCTCCTCTTGCTCCCCTTCTTTCAGACGTGTTTCGGATGGGACGCAGCTAGCTGAATTCTTTCCAGCTCAGCTCCATCACTGCATCATTTCTCGTGGACTTGTAGAGATGCTGCTAACAAGGCTGAGCTGCTCCCTGCCTGCACATGGCTGCAGAGGAGCAAAGTTCATTATATTCCTGTTCAGTGCAGATTATCCTACACTGAGTTTGTTATTTTCCTTTTTTCTTTTTTTTTTTTTTTTGTAATCCAGAAAGCATCGTTCCCCTTAATCAGCCTGCCACTTAATGTAAGAGGCTGTTGAGTAGCTGATTTACCAGTGTGTTCCGTATGAGGGAGATGGAGGCTAAACACTTTAAAAGGTCACTGTAATCATGACAAATCTGGGTATTTATGTATGAAAGGCTGGAAACTGAGAAGTCAGAAGAGAAGCATGAATGCATCAGGGAGGTTAAAATCGATTGAGGACAGTGATTTAAAGGCAGTGGTTGTGATTACGAATATGTTTAGTTCCTTATCCATTAAAGTCATAGGACTAGCCTTAGTGTGCAGCGTTGGGAGAGACAGTTGCTTGGTGCTACAAGATAGTAAATAGCTTGCAAATAATTCACGCTGTTTCCTTTGCTTTTTGCCTTTTTTTTTCTGTTTTTTTGTAGGTGGTCTCTTCATCAGGAACACAGATCAGGAATATACTGCTTTTCGATTAGCAATTTTTCTCCATAACACCAGCCCCAATGCATCCGAAGCACCTTTTAATTTGGTTCCTCATGTAGACAACATTGAAACAGCTAACAGCTTTGCTGTAACAAATGCCTGTAAGTAAACATGCCATTTATCTGACCACCTTATGGGTAAATTGCAGTGGAAATAACAGGAAATCACATCATTATCTTGTATTGCAAAAACATCAGTAAGTCTGTCTTCAGTATAGATACCTTGTGCAGAAGAGCAAAAGGGGCGGCAATCTGTGCTAGTTTCTAAGTGGAGCAAAGTCCCCTCTCCTGCCTTCTGCTGACTAACCTGATGTGACATTTACTTTAGTGTTATTACTGTAGTTTCTTGCTTCCCAGTTTCTATGGAGATGAATTTTTGTTGTAAAGAAAAATTATGAATGTTTCAATCAGTCCGTACACCCCCAGTTCCTCTTGGTTGCTTTTGGGTATGGTGTGCCTTGCCTGTATTTGAAAACATACGATAATACTTGTGCTCACAAATGCTTTTCTAATGGCTGGAAAGGAGACAGGGAAGCAGTGGTGTGCAGGATAATATATCTGAGTTGTTTGACGCTGCAGTTGATCTGGTGATGTCACTTGAGGCAGCCCTGCTCTTATATTCTAGGTTGTAAATGTCTCTTATCATTTCGTAATGCATACATCCTGTGGATATGTCTCTATGCATCCATACATTGGTGCCAAATCACGTTAGTATCTGATTTACTTGATTTCACAGACCACCTCAACTGGAACAAATATTCTCTTCCTACTATATATTTTATACACACTCACCTGCACACATAGAGTTGCACATACACCAGAGAGAAAATCAGAAAAAGAAATGCCTTTATCAAATGAGGCAACATTTACTTTTTCTTCCTCTTTTTTTTTAAAGAAGCAAAGTATATTAGCTGAACTTACTATATTTGAAACACCTCAGGGTCCTTAGCGCTGGTTAAGCATGTGCTGGATATGGCTTGATCTCCAGTAGTGGCAAAACATTGTTTCTATTTATCTTCATGTAGGTCTGGCTTAGGAAAAGGAATTCATGTTATTATGTAAGACAGTGGGACATAGTGTGGCAAAGCTGAAATCGTAGTAGCATTGCTACTTTCATGTTCATATTTTAGGACTTTATAGGTTTTCTTCTGTGGTCTTTTAAGTTCCTTAATTCCTCCTCTTCATTCAAGAGTGAATTGCCTCTGGGAGTAGATACCCTAAGCAACATTGCTGCTGAGTGTAAAACAGAAATATACTGGAGGAGGTCTTAGTGTTCATCATGCCTTTAAATTAAGTTCTGTGTTTCTCTCCACTTTATCACAGCCACTCTGTGTCACTTTTTAATATGTAAACATACAATGTACTGTGCATTTCTCATATATAATTTATTGAATGATTGGTAAATTTATTTATATGAGTTTGGTACTCCCAAGTTTCAGGATGACCTTGCCACCTTTTTTAACAGGAAAAGCTTCTGAGCTGCCAAAATGGCTCCATTCATTTTATGCAGGAAAGATTGATGTCCCATTAAGTGTGAATTCTATATTAAGCAATGTATTAGTTGTGTTTAGCGTGAAAATCAATATCAACCTCCATAAGGAGAAAACATTTCAAAAGGTGCTTTAAAACTGGAAGGAATAAGATCTATGCAGCTGTAGTTCATTGAGAAAATATCACAATGCATGTCAACTTTTGCAGGCACTGATTGTATATTCCAGGAAGACAAATGACATGGTAGCTTTTTTAAACTTTCATTTTTTGTGAAGAGGAAAGGACTAAAATTTTTGTATACTGAAATCAGTAATTTTAGGTGAAGTCAATTATTTTACATTCTGCCTACACATCCAGTTCTGCCAGATAATTTCTGAGGCTATTGTTACTTTCTGGATTAAGGGCATTGCACAGTATATCTGTTTGAACATTGGTGGATTAATTCTGTCTTGCATAAATCAAAATTGTCTAAAATTGAACCACTTCTCTGTGTAAGTCTAACACCATAGATTAAAAAAGGGTTTGCCCAAAACTTTACTTATTTATACTATTCACAGCAGATTCTTCTCTCTCATTCCAGCCACTTTAAGTTGTATTTACCTTGCACTGTTTTAACTGAGGAAAACCTGTCCCTTGATGTTTCTGTCATTTACAGAAATAGTGATTCATAACCTGATTTTTTTTATTTTATTTTAACTGAATCTAGTTTCAGTTCCAAAGAGTTTAATGACTCAGAGATGACGAATCTTTACAGTATGGGGGGAGGCAAAGGTAGAGGAAGAAAGTAAATGTTTACGTTTATCTGTGTGCATGCTCGTATAACTCTGTATGTCTGTATTAAATAGGTTTAAGTCCGTACTTCCCACTTAAACCAACGTGTATGTTTGCATTAGTTCAAGTTTGTATTTATTTCACATTTTGCAATCTCGTGCCAATAATCCAACTGCTGCTTCTTTTTTGAAGCATTTTAATACTGAAGAGTATTTTTTAAACAACAGATCTCCTAATGAAATCTAGGCAAACTAACTGGCAACTGAATGCACATACTGCATGTCCCTTAAGCTAAATATGAGCAGAATCCTGCAAAAATCAATTGTCTGATAGCTGGAGGACACTGACTTCCATGTGATTGAATTTGCTGGCTTGACAGAGGCTTCTAAAGCACAGATGTGTGAGATTTTCTAACCTAATTAAAGAACCCCCACCATCAGCTCTGAATTAAGTCATTTCATGGCAATCTGAAATGATAACTCTTTGCTAAACCACTGTGAAACAGCGGCTTTGGATCTTGCCATTTGTGTAGAAATTACTCAGTGCACACGTCCCCAGATATACAGTACAAAAGCCTTAGAGCTGCTGGGCTGCAATGAATATTCATGTGAGTTCAAGCATAAAGCTCTAAGACATGACCGGTTACCTCTATTTCTCTTCCCATTTGCTGCAGAGGTTACTTGTGAAGATTCAGGGCCTGACCCCTTGCATGTGTTAGGGACAGTAAACAGAGTATTTCAGATGATTGTGGATGGCATATTATCAGATAATTCACTACAACAGTGGAAAAAATTGAATATTTTTTTCTTTTAATTAGATAAAACCAATTATCCAAATATTCACGCATGTACTTTTGAAACTGGAATAATTTTGGATGTTCAGTTTCTATCTATTTTCTAATGGTTATCTTACACAATTTTTGTTTTCTTCAAATGGGCCCAGAACATTAGTAATTTTACTCTAAATCATGAGTGGATATGAAATGGGTTTCTTAAGCAGATAGACTCTGGTGTAAGTTAGCAAAATTGATCTGATTTATGAGTTTGGCGATAGTCCTCTTCCTTTTCCCTTCCCGTTGCCTATTTTATTTAAACTTTGTTCATTTCTTTTGCACAACATACATTATTCAGAGTATCTCTTTTACTGACAGAGAGAGCTGAAATTATTGCGAACATGAGTAGTACAAGGTTCTTACTCATCAGAGCACAAGACACCAGAGCTGAAACATTTGACTATTGGCGTACATTGGTTTGCACCTCATTAGCAGGAAATCCTGCTTGTGATTACAAATCTACCTTCAGCTCCATTTCAGATGTTGGAGCAATGCATTGAGTTTTGAAGATGATTGTGTATATTTATTCTTCAGCTGAATCCGAAGTAATTTTCTCATTTCCATTCACTGTCTATATTACATTAGTATACCTCAGCAACGCGGTCAACATTAAACCTGCTTGCATACTCTTGAGGTAGATCCATAATTTTACAAAGAACTATTTGCCTTACATCTCTTGTCTTGTGGTTGAGAAATTTTCCATTGAAGTTTCAAAAATCCTTAATGTATAACTAGTCTTGCAGTTCTTGTGCAGGATTAGGCTAAATGGGGAAGAAGAGAGATCGATTCAAGTCTTTCATCAGTGTTTCATACTAAAAATAAAGCTTTTCGTTTTGAGTCTGTTTAACTACATTTGTATTCTGAGATGACTATATTCCTAATGAGTGTAATTTGGGGTAAATCAGACACTCCTTTTGTTTCACCTTTTGCACAACTCAGTTCTTTGTAGATTTTAATCCCAGTAGATACAAAACCCCCAAAATAAAATTTTGTTTATTATATGGCACATGGATTAGAAAAAGAAAAACCTAATGGAATTAAAAATTTTGTATTTTGGAATAACTTTCCTCTTTTCCCAAGTGTTATTCTCTTTGAGTGTTATTCTCTCTGGACTAACATGGGGTTGATGACCTGAAATTAGAGGGCCTGATTCTGCCTCACCAGCATGAATGCAGTTTCTCAGTGAGATCCACCAAGGTCGGAGGCAGCCCTCCTGACAGAAAGGAACTTCTCTTATCACCCTGCCCTCTCTGTGGGCTTGTCTTTAGGCTTGTTCTTGCTACTGAGGGGAGAGGCAATGTCATTTTGAAGTTAACTTTTCTGCTGAGGCAACCCAAAAGCTGAGGAAATAGGCTCAAATGTAGTACTGCCTTTATATTGTGACTGTCATTTTACTTAAAGCAGTTTCAGATTGATTTGCTAAGCTACATCATAATGGGATTTTCATTAAATTTAGTTATTAATTCTGCTTTATAATTACAACTCAATTTAGCAACAGGAATGTAACCTTAGTTTAATAATCAGTGTAATTTAAAACCACGGTGTTCCTTATTTAGGAAGTGAGGGTTTCATGGTATTTTGCTATTGAGAGCAGTACAATATTCTCAAGGATGCAGTCTAGAGTATATTGAGAGTTACCATAAAGGCATACCATACGGTCAGGTTTGAACTGAAAGGCAAACAGTGTGCCAGTTGGTTAGAAAAATGGAACTGGATTAAATTGAACCTTTCTAAAATAGGATCAATTTCAAGTGAGTGGTTTGCTTTAATACAAGGAGTTTATCTCAAGCTAGACTCCAGTTATTGAAAACAATTTCTCTTAAAGTTTCGATTATTAGCACTTGCTGATGGAATCAAAGGATATATGTGTATTTGGGTGTAATTTGCCATAAGAAAGATTCTGTATATTTTTAAGATATATGAAGACCCATATTCAAAGTGTTTCACAGCTCTAAATGTGATACTTGTAAATAACTGTACAGCAAAGAGAAAATTAACTATCAATAAA